GCAGAGCTTACAAAGAAAGAGGAGATGAGGGCGAGGATAATATGCAACTGTTGGTGCATCGGGAGTTCATGGAAGCGATTGTCTTCGAGGGGATTTTTCCGATGACCGCAGACTTTGAAAAACGCCATGGAAACACCATACCGCCGTTCGATCTAGAAAAAGAAAACATTTGAAAGGATACGCAAATCATTGTTGAGTGCTCTATCTTACAAGATAACCAGCAACAATACACTGATTTGAAACGCTAAAACGTGAGAAAATGTTCTTGCAGGTGTATGCAGCAACCTCTAGGTAAAGAAACTGATGTCTGTAGTGGAAAATTTGACACATGTTAGCTTATTTTAGAGGCAAGATGAGTGAAAATTAAAAAAAAACAGTTCAAAGGTTCTGTACGAAAATAATGAACCTAAAAGCCGTCATTGAAAGATGTACTCCGGGGACGAGCGTGTTGGCGTGCGGTGTAAAAACCAAAATATTCGCACCAACCGGGAGGTTTCGGAAATTGCAGTCATTTTCAGTAGAAACCCACTGCAGCGAACGAGTCAACAAGAAGGCCGAGGTCAGGTATCTGCGGAAACTTTTCACAATGAATGGGTATCATGGCAGCTTCGTCGAAAAATGCAGGTGAGGAGCAAAAAGAAGAAAGCCAACGGGGCAGCCAGAAGCAACACGCTGGCGAGCAGTACCCTATATTGCTTACGTATCCGAAGAATTCGCTCGACTGGTCACCGAATTCGGGATTCGCGTCGCTCACCGATCGGATTCGACAATCCGCAACCAAATCATCCAGCATAAAGACCAAGTAGCCGTCAACAAGAAATCCGGTGTCATTTACCGAATCGATTGTCTTTGTGGTCAAGCCACAAACCGTCAAACGGGTTGTCGAAGAACTGCACGAGCATGAACTCGCCGTGCGAAGGAAGGACAAGGTATCCTTGGTCGCCTCCCACGCATCCTCGCCAGGGCACGAGTTCGACTTCGAACACATGCGAATACTAGGCCAGTCGGACGATCGAATCTCACGCTTGCTGTAAGATGCATGACACTCGCACGCGGACTCTATTAATACGCATATCGATCTCCCAGATGCTTATCTCGCGTTGCGCGAGCAATGGCAGGATTCAAGGGCACTCGCGGTGGAACAAACAATGGTCACTCACGGCAGAGCCGACTTAATCACGCAGTGAG